TACTTACCCTCAGAAATAATGCAATAATTGTTGCATCCAGTATTAAAACCAAGACGTAGAGTTAGGAATGCGGTCATTTTAAGAAGCACTAAATAGTTCAAACGAGATTCTAAAAAATAGCTGGGAATGAAAATAAGGCAACATTTACAGGATAAACGGGAATGTCGTCGTGAGTAATTCAGAGTGATGGAATTATTCCTTCATCATCCGACCATTCACTTCCATCTAAAAACACTACGCTTGCTAATAAAATAATAGTCAAATCTTTCGCTTTTGCTACCGGTGCTTCATTTCCGCCTGAAAATTTTAGAATATACATTGTAGAAGAATCTAGACCTAAGGATAAGTAAATGAGTACATAGCTAAAAATCTAAATAAATGAAACTTCCTATAGCTTATTTCATCACAAAAAAAATATGTTTTTCTAGCTTTCTAAATCAACTTAACACAGATGTAACGATAGCGTCACTTAGGTAATCAGTTGTTTTAGAAATAGAAATTAAATAAATATTGCCTTCCCTCATCCAATTGTTAGACATAATTTGTCTATCATCTGTGCCACTGTCATCAATTCCCAATTCAGCTGGAGTTGAATCGCTTGATTTCCACAGCATAAGATATTGAAAAAAGAAAGAAGTCTTTCAAAATTAATTTTCTAGAAAACAAGAAGAAATGGTCGACACCCTGAAACTTCCTTTAGTTTTTAGGTGTCAAAAATGAAATCCATCATACATGCTTCCAAGTCCATAATTTTTTTCATAGATTTTGCCGTTTAAAGCTCTTATATATAGCATGAAAGAACACTCTCGAACTAAAAACTCGAAGATCGTTTATGTAGTTTTGCTCCATTCACTACACAGGGAGAAGATAGCACCAAAAGTAACCAATCTCAACACCCTTACTTTCAAATAGCACAATCCGAAATATTAGTTTCTTCCTGAAGAAGATACCCTTCCCGTCTTTAAAAATGTCTCTGAAAAAGCCCGCAATCTGTCTCTAAAAAAATAACGACGACCAATTGCTAACTATGCAGAACATATCAAAATTAAGATGTAATGCTTCGAAAATCACCCGAAAAAATGCATGAAAAAATCCGCAAAAATGTGATATTAGTACGATCAGTTTGATTTTATATAATAGAAGCACATCATGTAAGGCGAAAGTCTGAAATATTATTTACGAAAATAATTTAATAAATATGTTTAAGTGTAAAGCTTATGATCGTTCACTATCTGGAAAAATATAGAAGTCACACAAGTCAAAGCAATCAACACTTCTCGAAACAACAACCGTAGAACAATCTGAATGTTATATTGCTTCATACCATTACTTAAATATTTGTTTAAGACTACAATCCTTTCGATGAAATGTATTAGGAGATATTTTAGCCTGAGGTCTCTCGAGAAGTAATTATAGAGTATTTATTGAAATAACATGACAAATGCATAGCCGTACAAAGTGGACAAGTTGCCTTTGACATTTAGTTTCCAGGCAAAACTTCGAAGTAAAACAAAAAGTGAATTAAATGGGTTTTTGGGCAAAACTAATCTTCCTGATAATATAATCACTATTGATTTCAGGCGTATCACCAGCTATCTTTTTCCTTTGCTCCAACTGTTGTTCCAGGTGACGGAACATATCGACCAGTTGTACATGAAACATTAGCAATAAGTAACGTGGAGTGCAACCAAAAATCTATGTATTTCTCATAATAACACAGCCAAAGAGCTAATGAAACAGCCTAATATGGAGATAAAATTTCTTCTCATCATCTGATTAAAAAAATGCAAAGCTTGGAGGCCAAGAACTCAAAAAATTTGCTTAACATTTCATTTAAGGAGAATTTAAACTAAGTTCGCACAGCACTTTTCAAACGCATTCATAAAAACTAATGCTCATCAAATATGCAAGCCAAGATCTATAAAAATACATCCATAAAATAAGATCTCCTATTAATGACATTAAGAAACTAGGAATACCATAGTTGCTGCAAAATAGGCTGCATCTCGTATTGCACCGTGACATTTTTCATCCCAAACAAAACGCTGTGAATGGCTATCAGCAAGGACTGCCACAAGTTTTAATATCTTAAAAAGCATCGACATATCAGAATATATGCAACAGTTTATGAACAGTATTTGAAGAACTTTTAACTGAAATAAATGAAAGTATCAAGTTTCAGAACTTTCTCAAATAATCTTTGGTGTACAACATAGAGTTTTAAATTAAAGGATTTGTGAGATTTAATGAGACAATAAAATTACTTATAAATCAAGGAACTGGTAAAAGAAAATCAATACGTTATCAAATAAATCATCTCTTTTTCTGTCAAAGCCCAGTAATATCAATCGTTCAATAAGTGTCGTAACTTCAATCTCTGTCAATTCCTGTGAAACAGTTAATCGTAACCCCCAACTATTAACTGGTTTTTCCAGTAAAGCTGAAAGTAGGTTGGAACTTTTCGAAACAGGCCTGAAACAAATTACCCTCTAGCAGTTAATTTTTACATAATCCATGATAATCAATGCACAAATAATATATCAACCAACTCCAAAAACTCTATTCCAAACCAAAAGTAACAGTAGAATAAATGCATTTTTAATATCTCATTTCTAATACTTACTATTTTTAATATCATATCAAAATAGCGGCATGAAAAGTTAAACGTACTCATTAGAACACATTTTAAGAAACATCATATAAGTTCGATTATCCACCATTAGCGAAAAGCGCAAAAGATCAACTGCTTGTTGAATAAGACTTTTACTAGCTAATAATTCAATGAATTTAAAGCATGCTCTAAAAACAAACAATTTAAAGTTCTTTCATGAATCGCATGGTCAAAAACGATCTCGATGGACGAATTATGAGACGTAAATTCCTTTTAGCTTATGATGCACATGTCCCATAAATATCCGGACGTCGATATTGCCTTTAATGTAAGCAGAAACCTGACAAACCTGACCGCATCCTTAATTTAAAAAAATATGGAAATTCACTAAGCCGAATGAGTAAGCTGCTTAAAAAGAAGCTATTCCTTTTTCCACATCCAATCTTTCTCACTGATATAAATATCATGGGATTTACATATGTCTTAGAAGTTAGTGATTAAACCAACTTGGATTCGGTGATCAGTCTTGAGTGAATGATAAATGTGAGTATTCGGTCAAACAATTTTTCACTAACACATTTGCGTAAAATCTTTAGCAACGTCATTTGCATTTGAGCAGGAAGTGCCACAGGTAACTGATCAGACAAATCAACATTTGTCTTCTTGGCTAATTTTGATAGCTCATTCCAAATATTATTCAAATCCTGCAGACTACTTATAAGTGTTTTATTAATAACATCAGACAACTAGAACCATTTTATAACAATTTAAATTCCAAGAAAACTGAGGAGTTTTCACAACTCTATTTCTTGAGAAATATTTCAAAAACTTAAAGGAAACTAACCTTTTGTGCTAAGCAATTGGAAATCTTTGCAGCAAGAGAATCGAATGGCTCTGTTATGTGTGCAGAAGATAGTGAAGTATGAACGGATATGGATGGAACGGAATCTTCTGAAGTACCAATGTATAATGAACGCTTAATCGGTTGCATTCTAAAAACGAACTTTAAAATATTCAGAACTATAATTCGGTGAGCTTAAAAAATTCATAAACCTATTAAACAAAAAAGAACAGTATTCTGCCACTCTTCTTGCTCAGTATATTTTTATTAAGTCTAAACTGCTCAAAATCTGTGGATTGCTGCGTGAGAAACGAGCCTAAATGAGATAACGAATATTTGAGATACGAAGCTATTTCTTAAGGATGGAAATATGAAAAAACTTGCCTCATAGGTATCCTGGCAATATTACCGATCCCTCTCAAAACAATAGTCTGCTTTTCATCGATTGTGATCTAAGAAAAAGCATACATTAATTTTTGAAAGAAAATAATCTTTACTCTCTTTCTCAACACACATGTAACTAAATTGCTAATGCATTCTCATTTTCTAGAAATACAAATGGTAACTAAGGAATATAAAACAGATCGTATTTTTATCTGAAATGGAATAAGACATAGAAGATTAGAAAGAGGCTTTCAACTTTCAAAATCATAGGAGTGAAAACTGAAATCATTTTTATCTTTGTAGCACACAACAATTATATTAAACTGAGCGACTCCTAGTTCAGACTACGAAAATAAGCATGTTTCGCCTAAGGTTTCTATGGAGCGACTACCTCTAGCACTGTAATCTTCAACATTGTAAGGGCATTATAACAACCAGCAAGTGATCTGTGACACAGTGTCAGAAAAATATAAGAAAAAACAAAAATCCTGAAACAATATAAGATGAGCGAACATTGTATGATAAATAGTAGCAACACATAACATCATTTAACTTACTTCATTAGGAAGGCATTGTTCAGGCCATAAGAATTTTATTTTTCCAATAACAGCATGTTCACCCTCCACACAGAGCCTTACTATTAACGTTTTAAAAGTTTCTAAAATCAAATCGTCAAATTTACTCTTTAAAATAAAGCAATATTTTCCTACACATTTGTCATTTTAAATGGTCATTGTGAATCAAATTTAATTGCGAAATGACAGAGTATATAGTACGAGTGAATATGAGCTATTAAAAGAATCCAAATAAAGCTTCTGGTCATAATGGCAAAAATCAGCCTACCTTGATATTTGTCATTCTCTAAAGTAGCTTCCACATAAAGGTGATCGTTTATCAAATACCTCAAGCAATTTTTCATCTGAAGCAGAAGTAGGAATTGATTAATAACATAAAAACTCAGCATAAAATTGCTTTTTAATGAGGTGACATGGGGCAAATGTTATGGAATTTGGCACATCCGACTCAGACACTCTCAAATCCTGGGAACCTCTCACTTCCATCGTATTAGTACGAATTTTACTTCTGCAACGCGCTGTGCAACACCTACGGGAGGTAAGTTTCAGAAGTAAGGCAAGTTGAGGCAATGGTAAAAGGGTCAGGGAGATGGGGTGGTCGTTAGCCAAAAGTATTTGGATTGCCGCATTTGTATCGGAATCCGTGATATGCAGTGATCCTTTGCTGATAACTCATTGGTCAGTCGATAAGAGAGCTAGTATCTGTTTCTATTATTACTTCGTCACCACATTTTTGCATATTACAGTAGAGCATGAGGTACATTTCTTTATTTGCTATTATCTCTTTGGGATTACTGCTTCAAATTCTTCAGCATATTCTTTTCAACATCTGATTTCTTCCTACTTCTGCTTTTTGACTTTCCTTTTGATCCTTTAGGGACCGGATTTTTAACCTTCTTAGCAGTCTAAAAAAGCATTCTATAACTATTATAATCTCCAGTAGTATATTATATATAAATGCAACCAATAAGGTTAGAATTGTAGGAGTATGGAAACTTAATTTTTTATAGTGTCTGAGTAAGACTTAAGGTTGTATAATGGGATTTAAGACCCTGGCAACATGTAAAAAGTACAGTGAGGCATATTAGCAGAGTCAGTCCTCCCGTATAATGTTTATGAATGTACTGATGTAGTTTCAGAATTCTAACACTCTGTGCCAACTTCTACTGCAGCATGAATATCGGTTTCACACTAATAACCGTAAAGTTATCATTGATACTGGCGACGGTAGCAATTTTTTGACTTCTAAATCCTTGATTGCTTCATAAGTTTTTTCATCGAAGAAGTGATAATTTGGTGGCTTTTGGGGATTTGTTAAAATTAACTTTTACTGTTGCAGTAGAGATAAGTTATAAATAAAAGAGTGGAATACTGTTTTAGATTTTGCTGTTTTTTTTTTTTCTGATACCTAAAATCATTTACCATTTAATTCAGTTTAATCTTATCAAACTTGTGTGTGCAAATAATTACCTGTTTGAAGGTATGCGTTATTTGCATTGAATTCGTGTCATAATGTTTTCAGGAGATAACGCACAGGACAGTACATTGATTTCAGATATTTATGCATCTAAAATAACATTAAATAAATATACATTATTACAACTTCATGCAGAAACAAAAACTTCAACCAAAAGGAAGGAGAAACACTGACTTTGAGCATATTTCGTCCATCAAAATTTGCATTTAAATTGATGAACGTTTTTATAAATGTAAGTTTGTCTTAGATGCTTATAATCGTGTCCCTTGTATTCAGTCAAGATTTTTTTTTTTTTTTTTGGATTCGGTGTGAGCAATTTTAGGATTGCTGAAGCAGAAATATTTTCACCCTTGTATTATTTCTGTTACGTCGAGGGCAACGGTTGAATGGGTTCACGTTCCTTTGCAAACAGCTCACACGTGACATAAAGCCAGACTATAAGATCATCAAAATGTGTCCGTTGGCGTCCTTTTTGTGCATGCCCACTTGCCCATTTGGGTGTTCCACGAAACGGACAACACATCCGTGGTGGTTGTATCTGCAAAAAATCTTTTGTTATTTATGAGTAACGTTTAAGGGACTGATTCGAGAATTGAGCTTAAATTCAGTCTACTTATGAGAATATACAACAATATTTTGGTTGGTAGTTAGCATTCATGAAAGTTAACTTTGAGCAAATATGATGCAGGAATAGCTACTGTTGATCTAGTTTCATTCGATTATTTCAGGCCATTAATCATGAGGCCAACATTTCTTGATTAAACACTTTTCATTATATATATTTCTTTAGAATGCTTCGAAATAGTCCATCGCATTTATTTTTAATCACTGTTAAAAGAAAGAATTATATTGTATTGATGAAAACGCAGAGTTACATCGCTTTCCCCATTGGTGTACATCTGAGCCATACCGAGATCGAAGAGCTATTTGATCGGTTGTTCTCTTGAACACAAACCCATATTATCCGGCTTCAAGTCGCGATGCAGAAGTCCTGAACATGTTTAAGTTTTTTCGGTCTATTTAAAAACTCACCCGGAAATTTGAAGCTACTTTGATTGTTCTAAACCCCTCTTCACTGTTTTCCAAACTGAAGTGAAGTATGTTGGAAATGTGATGACGACCTGATCTTATTGGTGTCTTTTTCAGTTGATAATAAAGATACAAGCTTTGGTACGGTAGTATCGGTGATACGTCTGTTATACTTTTTCCATGTTGACAGCGGCAGAAAACATTTCTACCATCGCTTCTTTTACACTCATATCTGCGCTCGCTTTTGATGTTGTATTATACAGCTCTAAAGAATTGTAATAGCAAAATTTTGCAGCATTTTCTGAGCACCTTATGCATGAAGATCATAAATTCCTTTGAGCATTTGCAATGATATATTTGCCGGACGATATTTCCTATGCGCTCCTTCTACCTATGCAATTATCAATTTTATTTTTTTGAAATTATTTTTCCACTACAGATTAGTGAACAAATAAGTCAAATGTTGATACAGAAAAAAAGTACGCTAAATAAATAGATGGGTCAGTCTATAATAATTTCACCATCTAATTACCTCATGAATGTAATTTTTGACTGCCACCACTGCTTTTTCCAGCACTACGAATTTCATACCTTCGCCGTGTTGGTCCGCAAACATAGCTTTGGCTAGCAGTTAGACGATTGATGCAGTTTCGGAATAATTTTATTTCATTCACTATTTTTATGGGAAAATTTTGGATTCCTTTACATTCTTGCAGTTTCGAGTTTGGGAAGTTGTACTGGTTACATAAGCTTCTAATTAATACTAAACGGTGTATTTTTTCCTGGCCTCCTTCCTATTTCTGCAGATTTAAAATGGTTTATGTAGTTTTGAAAAAAAAAAAAAAAAAAAACGTCCTTAATTATGTGTTCTCTCTTTTTAATGTGAAAAAAAGGTTGATAGTACCCATGGACTAATTTCATTATTATCAAAATGTTTCGGTCCGCCCTTCTGTTCTGAAATACATTTTTTCCTTATACTGATATTTTTCTGCATATCAAATGCAGAAAACAAGAATCATCACTTACTCTCATATCAGATATTAAGCTGTACTCTTTAAACATCGTTTCTAAAATAAGTCTTTCTAAAATAACTCACTAAAACATTGCCAGCTTCGTTGTAATAACATTGTATACTTTTGTGACAACATCGCGAATAGAAAATACCACAACATGTGTACCTTGGTTGATTGTCGTAATTACTTGGACATGGATCGCAGAACTAATTTTTCTAAATTCATGGAATTTCTAGATTATTATATAATCTGCAAAATCACAACGTTGTAAAATCTTTCTTTTTATTATCTATCCAAATGATTAGATTCCATGGAATATTTACTTGTAAACATTTGTTGAATGGTGCAGTGGACTTAAAATGCTCAATTAGTTCTTACACCGCTTGTTCTTGCTTTTCCTGATCTCTTTAGTGATCACTTCCCGCTACTTCCATATGTTTTCCTGAAGCCTTTTGACTACACGGCTATTGCTTGGTCGATTTGCAAAGCTAAAAAAAAGTGGATTTCAAAAAAAGAAAGTTAGCTGAAATAAATCTGTAAATAAATTCCCTACTACTGAAATGTATTATTCATTATAAAAAGCTGTCACTAAATTTGTAACAGAAAAATTACTTTTCTGGTGGCAGCAGTTTTTTGGATTCGCTGATTTCGTTTCGCCGATGTTTGCTGATCCTTTGCCGATTTCTTTGATTTTGTTTTTCCTCTGCAGGAAAGTGATAGATAGGGATACCAAAAAGATTACTAGCTTTATCGATAATTTTATTTAATTGTTAAATTATCCCCTGTTGGATTTATATGTTGTGCAGAATCTTTTGCTCGAAAGTATGACATAAATACCATTATTCCTTTTATCGTGAAGACGGTTGATGACGGTGTTAACGATCTAATTGCAATTTGCTTGCTCGCTATGCTTCTTTGACGTTTAACATGCTATAAAACTATGATCAGAATAGAAAATGTTTCTTCAAAACCAGTGTATATCAATTAAATTAAAACCAGTTAGGGAAGTTGCATCAGTACTTTATTTGTCTTTCAAGAAGCTCAGAACACCCATGGCTTTTTTTACCTGACAAATTCAATATTCATTGTGTAGTTTGTTTGATTACCCATGTACATACTTCTGGAAAAACGGCATGATTGCAATATTTCTTCAGCTCTTTAAATGATAAAAATGAGTTAGTTCAGATTCATCTAATTATTTATAATGTTAAGAAAATTTTTGTTTTTTTATGAGTTTATGAATGCACGTAAAAATTTACCGTTTATACATATTATGGTAATAGAAATTAGGAGTCCAAATTTTGCTCTACTTTAGGATTTAATATCCTAAAAGATGAACATTATAAGAAATTGAAATTTAACTTCTAGGGAATGGGGAGAGGAACTTCATAATTTCATTGAGAGAACGGTTAAAAGATTATATTTTTTGATATTGTTTGGAAGTTTGATAGATGCGAAGGAAAGTTTTAGGTAGAAATTTGCATTTTCTAATAAAGTTTCATTTAGACTACCACTATTAATTGATCAAAAAGATAAACAAATAATCAACAAACATTTATGCCAATTCGAAAAAAATGAATGATATCAACCGGTCAAATTCCTGTTTCCTTTTCAATATTCCATTTAGCACTATATTATGCGATTTGATAGCAAACGTAAGGTTTAAATAGTCGTACTGTTTAAAAGATCAAAATTATAAAAAACTATGTGTTTTCAGTAGTGAGTTATTTCCAACCATTTCGTATTATATAATAATGCAGTAGTTAAAACGGAATAATTCCTTGAAGAATTAATAACGATGTTTACAAAGTGTACTGTAGTTGAGAATCGAATAAAATTTGTGCAACAAATTAACAAAGCAAATATGTTAATTAAGTATCGACAGTAAGTTAGCAATTATTAAGTTATATTTTAATATAACTTAATAATTGCTATATTTTAATATAGATTTCAATAATAGCAGCATGTGAAAGATCCGCAATGTTTATGACTCCCTGGTCACCATGTACAGTAACATGCGTGAGTTTAGGGTCAAGTTCAATCTATTCCCAACAATGGCAACGATTTATCTGCAACAGTGTGGATAAGTCGAACAATAATTTTTCCACTTCCATAGCAAAATTCCGTTCCTGCTACTATGTGGTACAACATTCTTTATAATCTCTGTGTGTTAAATTTTGACGTCCAGGATTCGGAATTCTGATGTTAGGTCTTATTCTGATGTCACATATGAAAACGTACTCCTTTCAGATCAAAAAACAGGACTACGTAGACTTGTCTTGCTTATCGATCTACTGGAATTACTATCATTTTTCATTATGCATTGTGTTTGCAGATACCTTTGTGTCTATCAGATGAAGGTTTCTCAGTATCATTCCAGAATTATTTCTTTTTGGCAATATTTTTAGTTTGTATATTGCTAACATTTTTGCCAAACATGATTCTCGGTCTATATTACACGCAAGTCTGGGTTTGGAAAAGTCGAAAATCTGGACAGAAAAATGAGCAGTCTGTGTCATTTTTCAAGAAAGTACCTGTTAATAATTTCTTGCCGAATCGAACTTGAAGTTCTTTAAAACAGAATTGTCCAATAAAAATTGAAGGGATAAAAGAATCAGCATTATCTAACTTATTGAATAGAATTCATTTATCAGCAATATATTAGGTTGAAAAGTGAGAATGCCGCCTTTCTCTAAACCAGGAATGCTATAAAATCCTCACATAATTTTTCTTAACGATCATTTAAAATTGATATATAAAAATGGAAAACAGAAGCTCTGAAAGGTAAAGCAAATAATAGAAGCCTTTTTCTTTCCTTGAAAGATAAACAGTCTGAAAATGAATCATACAACGTTATTTAACTACTGACTAGTTTGTATTGCATTTTATCTATCTAGCTGTAATTTATTTTTGTGCATTATAAGTTTATATACAGTCAAGATGTTTGCTTTCTGTAGAACTTCTGAATCGATACAGCTATGAAGTAATTGCAGTCTACTAAAATAAAACAGCGAGTAGCCAAACATTTTCAAATTTTAAATGAAAATTGTTTGAAAAAAGTTAACGGAATAAATGAAGTTTTATCTCCCAAGGGATTATGTTGCATTGTGTAACATGGAACTTTTTATTTTTTAGTACGTTCAACAAATATATGAAAAACAGACACTTAGACAAATTAGAACAACGAACAATAAGAAAAGTTGGAAAGAAAAGCATATCTAAGTCATTTCTCTAAAGCACTACAGCAAATGTTACGAATGGATGTGGAAGTTCATATAATAGGACATAATGATAATTAAAAATAAGCAAGTTGGTGACCCAACTATTAGTTTGTATACAACCTGGATAAGGCTAATTAGGATTAAGATTAGATTGTGGTCAAAAAGGATTTGAACAGGACCACTAACTTCTGTGACTGTATTTTTGTATTTCAGACCATGTCAGGAAGTGTACAAAAATCTACATTTGACTAACTACAAGGCACTTAATGATCAAAAATCTATTTCTTCTTGTTAAAAATTCCCTAGAAATAGTAAATCGAGTGATAATTTGACAATGTCAATGAAATATGATTTTTGTGTAAAAGACTACGATTTTTAAATTTAAAGCTGCATTCCAAGCAAGGTATTTGCAGCAGCATGATTAAAAAGTTTATCGCATTTGTAAGAACTTTAATTTTTTAATTTAAGTCCTTAACAGCGGAAATAAAAAATAATAAAGTATTTGTAGCAGAATTACTGTATCATAAAACAACACATTAATGGAGGAAAATTAGAAATGGAATGAGGATTTTAGGCACAACAATAGCAGTACAAAAGGTTTCTACAAACACAAACTTTGGTTAAAATGATTATTTGCTTTCTAATTTTTAGCATTTCTCCTTTGTCTATGATCAAATTTTTTCCGACTTAAACTTCCAGAATAAACAGATTTTTCTAAACAAAACTGTTTTGTGGAAACCTAAAATCACATATAAACTGGGAAAAAGCCCCAAATGATGAAAAGGAATTAATACCAACATTTGACATACCTTATCATAATATATATCGTCAATTACAAAGATAATCCAATGAATATAATATCACATCATTTCTGCATACAAGACTGAGCATAATATAACCTTCTCCTGGAAAAATTATGGAATCGTTAAAAAAAATGTTTTTCAGTAAAGATTCCGTTTTTTCCTGCATTTTTAAAAATTAAACATTTAATAAAACGCAAAAAAGAGCATTGAAAAAAATCATGAAATGAATTTACCACATTCTATTTGTAATTTATTGCAATCTTAAATTCGGAAAATAGCGAAAAAGGAAAAATGGGTCAGAACCATATGAATATTGTAAAAATTAAAAATAACATGTCAAACTGTTTTACAAATGACATTCAGATCAGTTAAACTGTGATTATTTTCATAAACTTTGGTGATTGAAACTTCAAAAAGTGATCAAAATTTTTCAAGTTGGCAAGGCGGGGCGCAAAGTAAAGGAGCTAAAGAACGCGGACAAGGTGCAAAAACTTCTCTTAAAACAGAAATGAGATCAGGAAAAATACAAGTTAACTAGAGTGACTGAGGAATTAGAAAATAATAAAAATAGACAAGAAAAACATATGAAAATAATAATTTTTTCACTACATTGAAGTTTCACCATTGCTGATATCATCTAAGTATTAGCAACATTTTTCCGAAATAATAGTGGTACCTTTGGTCTTGTTTCTTTTACTTGTACTATTCATTAAATTTTGTAAAATTACATCTTCAATAGAAATACTCTTACTTAAGACCTTACAGCAGTCGTGATCATGCCTTACATAATGTCCACACGAATTTTAATTCCATCATATTTACGTTTAAGTCCGCATATTACGTTAAAATTCATGTTTACCTTATTTCATTGTTGATGCAAAACCGAATCCTTCCATCTCATCATATGGCTATCTTTATTATGTTTTGTTGATTTGTATCAACATACTAGTATAAAACATTTTGAAAAAAAATAGCTGAAATATCAAGAATAAAGAAACTGAGACATGCTTGATTCAGAAGCAACAGGTAAAATAAGGCTTATAGAAAGAGTTGTGCGATTTCTATAAGAGTTAAAGATCAATCTATCAAAATTTTCATGGAAATATTTCGAAAACAGCAAAAATCACAATGCTATTTAAAGTGCATTCGGCATAAGAAAATCATAAAGCATGAAAACAACTTGGCCTGTTTGCTTTCTTGACGTTCATTTCTATCTATTATACATAGCAATATACTAGAGCATTTATCTTATTCGCTGAGCAAAGTTCTAGAATGGTTCGGTCTCTTTTCAAGTTGATGGAGCGGAAACGTCTCAAATCATCATCTTCAAATTCAAATCACCAGTCTGCATACGTTTACATTTGGCTCGTCGATTTTTGAACCAGATTTTAACATTGTGCGTTGAAATTGGTGGATAACTTTGTCTATATTGACAGCTGTTCAGCGCTTCTGTATAATGGTCAATCTAAAGTTGTAAAAAGTTTATGCTGTCTAAGAATAATATTTACTGGTAAAATTATACTGAATTACAGAAGTCATCTCGACACAGAAAATGTCGAGATTCTTATATTTCTAAGATTACTGTTTAAGTTGAAATTGCTAAATATTTATATATTTATTTTCAATAAGTCATCTCTTCTTGAGGGAAGAATGCAATACGTTTTGATTGCCTTTGATTTCGTAACTTAAAAATATGCAAAAGTGAATGGAAAAAGCTACCCTTTTTCTAAACAATATAATTAACAAATCACACACTAAAGTAACTTAATTTTGCTGAGAATTAGAGAAAAACAAATGTGTTCGAGGATATGACCTGCGGTCTATGCCGATGTTTTTAAACTCGAACGTGTATCTAGAGTTTCCACAAATACTAATAACAAATCTAACGTAAAGATTTACCTGTAGCCAAGTAGGATGTGGATTTTCTTCAAACCATTTCTCTAGGACTGGTAACTCCGTGAGTGGATCGAACATTAATCTTGATCGAGCGACTGTATTCGAGGGTGTCTGTATTTGCTGTGGTTGTCCTGATATACCATTACCATTTCCACTGCCATTGCTTGTTATTTGTTGATGTCCAACAGTGTCTCCACCGGCTGGTTTCGGCGATATTGACGCATGACCACCATTCAAATCGAAAGATATTTCCGGAGATGAAGTTGCAGAATCCTTCAGAAAATTAAGAAATACAGAAATATTGTTCTCTAATACAAAATATCCAATGGTATATAATGCTTAAAAAGGACTAAAAGTTCAACACAACAGGTTAATAAAAGATTGAAATATTTTCTATGATTCTGAAAAACTGCAAGAATACCTGTTTCAACGCAGAAACCTGATCAAAACCACAGTCGCTGGCGCTATGCACACTGACATCATCATTCGGTGTCGGCGATTCTGAGCCTCCTTCGATACGCTGAAAAGTTTTATTTGCTTCGAAATACCAAGAGCAACTAACTACATATGGCAGCACATAAACAAAAATTCTATATTCCATCGTACTTCAGATCGCTTATTTCATTCCCAATTTTTTCTTGCTTCAAAATGTTGGAATTGTATACGTAACTTAAAAGTGATATAGAAATGCATATCAATTGCTCACATAGCACAAATAAGAGTTATACAAAGCTGCTTCATATATCTTCATTCATCAGATTTTATTGCCTTTCACAATTCTACGAATACAATTCATAAATTTGATCAGTTTGTATCAACAAGCATACAAATAACAAAATTTCAACAAAATACTTACTTCACTGCTGTTTCCATTGGCTTGTTTGCTGTCCAACAAACTATTAAAATCAAATTTTGGACGGAATTCACCAGATGGACTAGAATGTGACTGGGGTGGAAGTAAAATGGATGACTGCCCCACTGATAATGGACAATGTGTAACAATAGTATGATTCGATTGAGGTGATTTCCTACAAAAAATTATAATGACATAATTTAGTAAAGCATTAGTATCAAAATTAAATTGCACAACTGTTCTAGCAAAACTTGTTCAAAAAAAAAATTCTAAATTTTTTTGCATTCAGTTTTATGGCATTTTTTTTTAGCATTACTGCGATGTGAATAAGTATATGCTAAACTAGATTCTCTCATTTCATAAAATAATCTAAATTATTGTGACGTGATGATAGAATCAGGTCCTTGCACCACGTTAAGTTACTTCAGAATTATTCCGATCTTTTCCGAACAGTGATACCACTAATAGATTCAAAAGATTTCCAAAGTCAAACTTTCAAAATCGAACGTTTTTCTCAAATAATGCCTCAGTAACATCGTTGCACCATTACTAGCTGTAAGTTTAAGGATGGTTCCTCATCAATTATGTTGCTTTTCAAGACACTATATTGGAAGATGTTACCATATTAAAAGTAGGCTATTGAAGAAAACTAATTTCATGGAAAAACTTGAAACTTAAATTTGTGAGGTAGAAAACGATAGTTTTTTTTTTTATCAGCTCATAATAACTTTCAGTTCCTTGTCATTTTTTTCCAATTTAAATATTAATGAATGGGGAGCAGCTGATAACTTTTGCTAATTTTCTAAATGTGGTCAATAACAAGCCAAATAATGAAATTTTATAAAATAATTTTTGCAGGGACAGCAAATATTTTTCTACCCGCCACCAGGTACCAATCTAGGACATGTCATTGAAAAAAAGATGAGGTAGTAGGGTAGTAGCATAAACAGTTCGTTCTAACGATCAAATGTAACGAGAACTAAACTTGCTGGATATTTCAAAATAATACTATGCATGCATTTTCCGATGATAGCATAATTTCGTGTTCGGCATATTCTAGCCGTCAAAACTAATTACTTCAGTTTAACGCTAAAATATAATTTAATATTTCACAAATTCCTTCAAGAATACAGAACCTATTAGCAGCACGTTGATTTGCAAACCAATTACAGATTTGCTGATACGTTACTTTAACATTATGCCGCCGATAACTGGAACCATTGAGTACGTTCATATAATTAATCAGTTTCTGCCGGGATGGATTGGGATCGGTACGAAACCATCGTTCCAACTTTGGTGTTTCCAACAAATGATTGAACCTTGTGATATATGGACTGCAACGATGTCAATTATTTGGTTACTCCTCTAAGCAGTTAAAGCAACTCCATATCTGATAATTCAAGAATCTATATTGCAGAATAAATTCAAATAATTCTATTGAAGAGAAAATACTCTTTAAATAATTATTTGAATAAGAAATGTGTGAAGGTAAAGATATCAGCATACTATCATTAGATGATTAGATGATCAGTTGCGAATATTTATACTTATGTATCTAGTTTCTTATATTCCACTTATCAGTCTCATAAATTCATTCTTGGCAATCTTATCATTTCCCGTATCAAATTTAAAATTATTTTTGATGAGGACGATTGGATTCGTAGTTTAAGCGGTCCCTCATTTCTCTGACCTTCATATAACATGAAATATGCAAAGTGGAGTGTAGAGAAACGAAAGGTATGTGGAAAGTGAATACTGCCAATATAAACACCGATAGCCACACGACAATGGATAATCTTATTTTGGTAGAAAGCCATTTATGGTGATGACTATAAGTTCATCCCCAACTTTAGAAGTTTGTCCAAACTCCTCTTCCTCTTCCCAATATAATAGTACCCTTCGGAGATTAACAATTTCTCATATACAGTTAGTTCCAGTGCATCACTTGATATGTTAAATTTGATCTCTTGATACAGAAATGCGTGAACAATTAATAGCACATGAAATAGATGAAATTATGACTGATTTTGTCGGCTTTTCTTAGAAGATTATTTTATGTTCGCCTTATCGTTTTATTTGTTATTTGTCAACTAATTAGATACCGATTTATTATATATATGTTTGTTTGTTAATCGTATATTTTCATCGTTAAAGTTCGCTGATTTGATACAGGTCACTATGATTAATTAGGGAACAAATCTTAATTAAGCTTCGCTGAATTTTTTTTTTATCCTGGACTTCTTGCAAAGTTATGGGAATTGATTTCCATCGAGAAATTGTTTACATGACTGTACCTTTGAACTCTTTTTTTCACTTCATCTTTATCCCTTTCTCCTCATAAGGTGCCTGTACACCTTTACTTTCTCTCCTCCCTTTTGATTTTAATGATCCTCTGAAATTTTGTTTGTTTTCCTTTTATGGTGAAATTTAGTGCTGAAAGAAAGTTATTACTGCCGTAGCGCCAAACCCAAATATAGCTGCTGTTTGTCTCGTCGGGTTGGATCGCTCTCTTTACGATACAATCGCAAATCGCAAAGGCTGATACGCCTCTGCTGCTCACTTCGGTGTTTTCCATTGTTGATCGCTGCTCGAAGCCCATTCCTAACCCTTTACTGCAAATGTTAACGATACTGGGTACAGTGGAAGGACGAAGCAACAGCAGTAGATACACAGAGCAGATTGGTAAGTTGTAATCAACGCGCTCGTTCCTCAACTGATTATAAATATTGTGCAACTTGGCCTAAAACAAATGAGAGGAGCAGGTATGGAAAGATGACAATCGCAGCTCGAAGGGACACGATCACTATCACTGTGGAAAGCAGCCGGAAGCAGGAAATTATCCATCCGTTCGCGTATCAGTGGATTTAGTTTTCGAGTGACTCAGAAAAGAATTCAAGTATCACTAATGAATACATGCCCTAATTTATATATTTCACCCCTTTCTCCGTAGCTTTTCAATTTCTAAACTGTAGTGTGCAACAAATTAATTTTCACTAAAACTTGGGCTGCATCTCAAACATATTTCTCTCATGTGCTTATTTACATCTTTAGAAATTCAGATCTCGAATGACCTCAAATACATTGATAAAGAAAGTTATGTGTATGTTTGATTTTTTTTTTTTTTTTTTTTTTGTAATTGACCATTTTTTATTTTCATAAAGTGAGATTTAATGCTCATCAGACAGAGTCCCAATTACGTAAACTGGACTGAAAATTTCAATAAATAAAGCAAAAGGTGAAAAAGCAATCGAAGGAAGAAATAAATCGAACAATTTCATAAGGGAATTGGTTCTTCATCCACTAATCTATTTTTTCTCCCTCCTTAATTTCGCTAATATTACTTTTATATTGCTTTAAGTTTCAAGTTTGTCACCTTCACACATAAACTTCTGACTGTTAATTACTTCCATATTATCAATTATAAGCTTCAAGAAGCAAATTTACGACACTTATTACCAAAATCAGTCTGTAGTATCATGAAGGCAGTCAGTATACGGTCGTCTTTTTTTAAGTAAATGAACCAAAAAAACCAAAAAGCAATCATTTTGTAGGATACTACTCTTTTCACAATCATTCTTCAAATTGCAATGAAATCATATTCCAAAGATGAAATATGAAGAAATGATAGGAAAAACTAAGTGATTGCTTATGCTTATATAGTTAACAACAAAAATACTGTTATTCCCTAGCCTTTCAAATTTATTCAGCAATTCGATTATTTCCGTATTTGATCGGGAACGAGGAGGAAGGAAATGCTGCTGAGAGATGACTGGTGGGCTTGCGATGACGGTGGATGTGATGCATAAATTTGTGCATTCTCTCTATGGATGATGAGGAATGACTGTGAAGATGGAAGGGAATAATGTATGAGAATGGAAGTTTGTAAAAAGCTTGCAGAGCTACTAATTCACCAACAATTCCACATGCATCCAAATCAGTGAATAAAAAAGCATTTACTCATCTTCTCTCTATATGAAAAGGAAGATGGAATTCTTGATATACCTGCATATCATATGATACAAATTTTATACTAAGCAATACCGGAAGATTTCTTCACTTTAGATTCATCATTTCGCATTGTTCTAATCCGATGAATAGTTGCACGAAGATAAGATTCCTACCCTCCTCTAATCAACTAAGTACATAACAAATCTATCTCTGCCTTAATCTCCTGCTCTCTCACCAGCTAAGCTTCAGCTTTTACAAAGCTAGTCGGCCAGTAAGCAAGCAACCTTAAGATAAATATGACCAAGTTTAAATCTTAAATGCATACTGTACAAATGAAGGTTCTTTAAACTAGAAGAGTAAACTAGAATCAAATCCTCGCAAATTTCCACTCTTGCTTCTCTCTCCCATTCTTCTCCATCTTTCTTGTCAACTTTTATGACAAGAATGCATTATAGACTTAAAAAACTACGAATGAATGCTCCTGATCCAATACATTTACAAAACTAGAAGAAAAAATAAAAAATGATGAGAATTAGCAGAATGAAAAGAAAATATTGTGATTAATAGAAAAGTACCAGAGAATGGGCTTTTCAGAATTCTTTTATATAAATCCATATTTTAACCGCTGGTTGATCCCTATTTTCCCATTACTTTTCTAATACATAGTGCACCCTTATTAGCTTTAGAAACGACATGAATCATTCTCGTTAAATTATTCAAAAATTATCATATATGAACGGTTAACCAGCTGCATTGAGATTTGTTATGATCACTGGTTAATTTAAATATATATATTTGTTTGTTTACTTATATATTCATTTCTGTGTGTGATTTCCCGTTGGAGCTAAATCTGTCTAGTTCGGAGTGAATCTTAGCGAAAAGGTTAGAACCGGAAGCAGCTGCAAAAATTTGACAGGATGCTGACATTTGATGAGATTATGATGCATAATCACTTGAAATAAATAATAACCGTTACAGATAATTAAAAGAATTGAAAATTGTCACAAATAATATCTAATGATATCCTGGAAAGTTGAAGAAAAATTAACAGCTACGAATTTATTTTTTAAAATAATTGGTGCATATTTTCTTGCACTGATAAGAATAAGCCATTTCTTATCAAGGAATGAGCAGGATTAGATAAGATAAAGAATGAGGATTTCGCCACTCTGCAAAGAACAAATAGACATATCTTAAAAACTTCCCTTCTATAGAGGCGTTGAAGTTTTGTGAATTATTTTCGTCAAGAAATAAACTTTTTGATATTAAAAATCATTGAAATCAGTTCTTTTTCCGGACTACTGTACAAGTGACGATAGGAGAATATTGAAGAATAAGCATAAAAAAAGTGCTTCTGCTAAGTGCTTACAACTTCTCAATAAGTATGCCCACAAAAATTTTCCAAAATCACTCTAATATGAAAAATCTTTCTAGGTAAAAATCACAGCAAACCGACAAAATGATAAATGCGACTACAAAGTGGACTGTCACATAACAAAAACATATTGTTCTCATCAAGGATTAAACTCTGTGAGGCAAAGAGGTCTAATTTCTTGTAAAAAAATACCATTTGGACAGTGGGTCAAGACGCTTTAAGGATCTCAAATAGGGTGACAGTCTAAACAATAAAGAACACATTTGGAATTACAACACAAAATGTAACCTTTTTCTATCGACATGATTATCATCCAGTTGTTCCAACCATTCATTAATTGCCTGGATTTGATCAAAGTTGAGCATTGATGGTTCATCGCCAGCTACTACTTGCAATATCAGATCCTGAAAGGATTAAACTTATTTGATGGTAAGCAGTAAACAAGACTATGAAAGCAGGCATTAAAGCTATCACAATTAACCCCATGCAAAATAAACCACGCATCACTAATTTCATTCATAAGAACAATGATTTCCAAATAAAATCTTCGAACATTTACATTACCAAAAGTAAGTAGCTTCTCATATGCAAATCAATCAACATAATGATACTTTTTATATCCAAATCAATATTGTGAAAAAAGTTTATGAGAATTAACCTTAATTTGTTGATTATCAACGGTAGAAAGGATGTGTGGCTGCTTCGAAATCGCTGCTTTGAGAAGACGTTGCCTGAGATCCGATATACACTGTGAACTCGACGCATCTGTTGAAGATCTGCAACACGTCTTTCTTTTTGCTTCAATTACCAATTATTTGTAAAATTCCGTAAATTTTATCTCTTTTCTTAGATGGAAGATTCACGATTTGTGTAAAGTAAATGCGTTTCAGATGAGCCATCAACAAATCAAT